TTGATTGTGATGATGGTTTCACCAGTATACACATACATCAGAACTTATCAATCTGTACACTTAAAATAGGTGTAATTTATTGTATTTAATGATACCTCAATGAAGCTGTTTTAAAAAATTTTAGTTTCTGAGTTATATCAGTCATATTTCAAGTGCTTGATAGCCACATGTGGCTAGTGGCTACCAGACTGGACATTGTAGATAAAGAACAATATCATCATTGCAGAAAGTTCTACTGGACAATGCTACTCTAGACCGATGAGCCCTGCTGGCACAGTGGTTAAGCACTTGGCTGCTAACTGAAAGGTCAGCAGTTTAAACCTACTAGATGGGGCAATCTACTTCCGTAGTGATACTGCCTCGGAAACCCAAGGAGGGGTAGTATGAGTCAGGTCCGACCCGACGGCACATAACAACAACAAGCTGATCCATGGGAAAAAGATATGCCAGGTTGCTTCTGTAAGGATTCCAGCTTTGGAAACCCTATGCGGCAATTCTACTCTGTCCCAAAGAATACTACGAATAGAATTCGTAGAATACTACGAATCAGAATCAACTTGATAGCAGCAGGTTTCATTTTGGATCTAGAGCAAGGGTCAGCAAAGTATAGACCAGAAACCCATCACCTGTTTTTCCAAATAAAGTGTATCAGAACACAGCCACTCCCATTAATTTACATACTGTCTATGGCTGCTGTAGTGCTACAAAGGCAGAGTTTAGTAGTTGTGACAGAGATACTATGGCTTACAAACCTAAAACATTTACTATCTGGCCCTTTAAGAAGGTTTGTGGACCCTGCTTTAAACCATAAACTGAGATAGCGACGTATTTGTCCTGTTTACTTCCCACTTTACATTTATTGTTGTTGTTGTTGTTGTTTGCCATCGAGTCAGCCCCAACTCCTAGCGACCCATCCTTGGGTTTCCGAGGCAGTTATCACTACGGAAGTAGGATTGCCCAACCTTCCTTCCGAGGAGTGGCTGGTGGGTTTGAACCGCCAGCCTCCTGGTTATCAGTGTACCTCCTATATAGCAGGCACTGGGAGGCAGTGTTGAACAATACAAGTAAGTTCCTGTTCTCATAGCTTTCATGATCTGGTGAGGGGTGTGGGTAACAGATAAAAAGGTAAATAAGAAAATTATCAGGTAAGAAAATAATACTAAGATGACAATAAAACAGAAGGTATAGAGTATGACTGAGCCACCTACACTTAGGCAGTCAGGGTAGGCCTCTGTGAGGAACTAAGATCTGAACAATAAGAGTCAACAATACAAAGACCTGGGGTAGAAGCAGAGGGAATGGCAACACCAAGGCCCCAAAGTAGGAATGAATTTGGTATTTAATGTGTAAAAAAGAAGGTCCATGTGAGGGAGAATACACAAATAAGGGGAAAAGGGAGATGAGGTAGGAAAAGCAGACAGTGTCAAGAAAAGGAATTTGGATTTTATTTTAAATATGACGGAAAGCCACTGTAGAACTTTAAGCTAGTGAACAATGTGATCAAATTTACATTTTAAAAAATCATTCGGGGCTGCTGAATGGAGATGTCATCAGACAAAGGCAAAAAAGTTGTCTGAGAAACCAGTTAGAAAGTTTTTGCAAAGGTGCAAGTGAGAGGTGACAGTGGCTTGACTTGGACTACAGTGGCAGCAGTGAAGATGAAGTAGGGAAATTCAAGATACCTTTGGAGTTATAGTCAACAGGCCTTTCTGATGGATGAGTTGTTATGAAACAAGGAAATGAGAAAAACTGAAAATGAATCTTAGATTTCTGGCTTGAACAATGAAGAAATAGTGATATGATTTACAGATATAGGGAAATTTACAAAAATAAGAGCTACCATTTATGGAGTGCTTATTATACATCAATGATTTCTCATTTAATTTTTCCCAACAATCCCAAGAAGGTAAGTACTATTATTTCTATTTTACAAATAGGAAACTGAAGAGGTTCAATAACCTGCCCAGGACAAAAGCTAATACCAAAAAAATGGAAACCTGATCCTAGGTAATCATATTCCAAATTTTATCCCACTGTACAAAACTGCCTCCTTGACAGCAGTTCATAGGAAGGAAAAGGATTATGATCCAACAATGGCAGTACCACTGGATTAAGTAATAGACTCTCAAGATGACTACCTTGTTCTTTAAATTCTATTGCTTTAAGATCACCTTTATTTACTATTGTAGAGCGAAAGTCATCTGTATACTCTTCAAAGCACTTTCTCTCACGTTATCTTATTGATTCCCATTTCATAAATGAGGAAACTGAAACAAAAATTAAGTAATTTGCTTAAGGCAGACAAAAAAAAGTAACAAAACTACAGCTAACAGCTAAGTGAACAGATTCCGTACAGTGGTCTGTCCAATAAACTTATATCTTTAAAATTTTGATCATTCTGTCAGAAATACATTTTACATCACTACTCTAAATACACATACATATACAAAACAGATATAGAAATTATACAAAACAGTCCTTATCCTTGGTATACACTAACATTTTCTATACTATTGCATTTTTTAAAAAAAATGCTGACTTCAATTAACAATTTAAACACTGGTCCAAGCCTAGTTGTTGTCAGTTCTGATTCATGGCAACCCTGTGTGACCCCATGTATACAAAATAGAACTGCACACTCCACTGGGTTTTCAAGGCTGTGACCTTTCAGAAGCAGATCATCAGGCCTGTTCTTCTAAGGAGCCTCTAGGTAGGTTTGAACCACCAACCTTTCCGTTAGTAGTCAATTGCTTTACTGTTTTTATCACCCATGGATTGTGGACCCAATCCTTAATAATTAACATTATAACCACATGGCAGGCTTTTTTTTTTTTTTTTTTAGAAGTGTCACAACCCATCAAGACTACAGAGCACCAAAATAGCAAGATGAAACAAAAAAGACCAATCTGATGAGGATTTACCATACATGAGAAAACTGGTTCAGAAGAGTAATGGCTATAATTTGATGCACTACAGTTTGGGAATTTTTCTTATTATTACTTTCCATTGCTAATCTGGAGTTCTAAAATCAAACAGACATGCTACTAATATTTAAAATAAACAAAGGTGTACCTTCCAAAAAAATTATTATTGCTAGTAAAATATTCCTCAACTTCTCCCCCCTGCCCTCGAAGAGGCTAGATTGTAGGAAGACTGGATAGGCAAAATTTACTACTTTTAAAAAAGTAAAAGGCAAAAACTGATTCATTGCATTTTACAATGAAGGAAAGCTTCTTAAGAACAATGACTATGCTAGGTAAAAAGAACTTGGGAAAAGGGCAAGGCAACCCTTCATTTATTTCAACCCTTTATTTATTGGACAAGTACTACTGTTAAATTCTCAAGCTACTTTTTAATGCTTTTTTTCCCTTTGCCAGCATGCTTAATTACCCTTAGTAAAAAAAAGGAAGAGAACTATTTAGGAAAACAATTTTTCATTTTTCCCAACCGCTTAAGTTTAATAACAAAATACTACTTTTATGTTAACTGCATTCATTTACCTTCCTAAATGTAGTGTCTACCTAGTAAATTCTCATTTCATTTGGGAGACTTTATCACACACACACACACAAATCTTTCAGTCTCTGAAGGGGAAAAGCTACAAGGACAAATCGCAGCCTCAATACATCAAAGGCTGAGTTGGCACTACAGCCCATACATCAATCATCAAGTTCACGGGCACCCCTGGATGTCTCAGCGACACGGTCAAGGTCCTTAGGAGCTCACTACACTCCCATAAGCGTACCAGTCTCACCCTTTCAAGTGACCTCTAGCAAACCCAGGATCCTGGTGGGAAGATTTATGAAAGGCAGTAAGATTCAGAGGGTAGGGCAGCCTGAATAACCCTTTAAGGCTCCAATAATATAAATGCAATTCTTTTAGCTATTTCTTAAGGAAGGGCTAGATGTTCCCTCTAACCAACCTGTTTCCAGAAAAACTAGAAGGGCACTACCACGACACGCAACGAAAACGTCCAAATATCAGAAGATCCTGCGGAGCGGGGGAGGCAGACCTGGCTAGAAACCTCTAAATCAATTCTTACAAGAGGCGCACAGCAGAGGCCAAGAGCTCAAGACTCACGTGCACTTGCTTAGGGAACCCTTCCAAAGAAACCTGACCCCGATAGGAATCATCATGCTGCACCGTGGCTGTGTTTATTGGAATGGAACGCTACAAGTTGTTGCCCGCATCCCTCTTCCCAGTTATGACAGAGAACACACATGCTGCCCCCACAACGACACCCCAATTCCTTCCCAGCCTGGGCAGCATCTCAGAGCCAAGGCCCCTCACCCTTGGCTCTCACAACCGTCCCCCAAAACCCCTCGATCCCCACCCAGCCCAGTTCCGGGCCAAATCAAACCTCCATGTCCGTTGTGTCGACCGTTAGCGTCCCAATCAACACCGCCAACTCTGATCACCACCTCAGAGTCTCGAGATCTTTCCAGGAGCATCGCACGAGGCGAGGGACGCAGAAGACCCCCCCCCCCCAATACTGCAGAGCCGTCTTGTCGCCCGCTGCCAGGTGAGGGGGCTGAACCAAGGCGGGCGCCGCAGCCTGGCAGCCTGTCCTCAGAACGACTTACACCACCCGGCAGACCCCACCGGCCCTAATGACCTCCGAGGTGACCCTTCCAAGGCACAGTGCTCCCAGGCGACCTCGGGGGAATGGAGAGACAGAACACCTAGAGGGGTCAGATAATAACTATACCCCCGCCCCCGATCCAAGCACGCGCACCCCGATTGAGGGAGGGGCTGGGCTTCCTACCCCTTGGCGGACAGACCCGGAGAGGGAGGGTACGGACTCTGCTCGGAGGGAATGAAGACTATAGATTAAAGGAAGGAGGGAGTGTCCTGGGACCAACGCTCCGGGTCGCGAGCCTCCAGCGTTAAATCCCTTAGGCGCGAGGCTCGCGCGCAGCGGTCGCAGGCGCGGAGGGCGCGCTTTGGCTGTGGGGGTTGAGGCGGCGAAGGGAGCTGAGAAGCCCGCTCAACGTCCTCACCTTCTTGGTTCCGGAGCTTCCGGCGAGCCTAGACACTCCTGTCAGAGACGAGGAGCGCCCCGGCTGCCCCCCTAGAGTCTCCTGCTGGGGGGACATCGCTTCCATGAAGAAGACCTTCCAGCAAATCCCAGCCCAGGAGGAGGCTACACGATCATGACCTCGGGACGGCGGCTGGAGAGGCGAGGACGCGCGGAGCGGAGGCGCGGCCACCGCGCTCAGGCAGGGCTCTGAGCTCCCGGTGCGGGAAGCGGGCCTCCCGTCGGGGCCATGTACCGTTGCCTGCGCTGGGCACTGCGAGCTACGGGCGATTACTGCGGCAAGCCCCCGTCACCGCGGCGGCCCGCCCTACCTCGGGCCCGCCCCCTCCAACCCGGCTCCTGGCTCGGACCCGCCCCCGGCCGCCCTCCTCTGGGCCTCCGCCCTCCCCTCCGCGCCCCGGGCCTTGGCGCGCGGGGTCGGGAGTCTTTCTATATATATATTAGGGCACATGCGACCGACTGACCTTCTCGGTCCGCGACTCCAGAGTGGGTCCAGCGCGAAGGAGTTCACCGACCCGTGTCAGGATCGGGAGCCTCTAGTGCATGGACACACGCTTCTCCCGCCGCCCTGCCCACTCCCACCCGACCCCATCCCTTCCCGCTCCGCACCCGCAGGGAAAGAACCGCTGCAGCACAAGCATCAGCAGAGCTGTGACGACCTCGGCCTGAACAGAGGAGTTGCAATGATTCCTGCTTCATTTTCAGCGGATTGCAGAGGTTTTTCTTTCTTTTTTTTTCCTACACCCCCCCCCGCATGCCCCCACAAAGAGCCTTCTGGATAGAGTTGCACGTCGCAGAGTGTCACGGCTGTACAAATTTGGAAGCCCACAGCATCGTCTGACCTCTTGTGCAATCCCGAACGTTCCCCTGTCCCAGTAACCCTCGTTGGCTTCTGCAGTCGCCGCTCAGCAACCCCCGCATCATTTGTACCAGTGGTTCCCGCAGCGTGCAGACTGCAAACACAGGGACATTCCGAACGTGAAAGCTCAATTAAGAAAAATGCAGGCAAAGAGAGAACTCTGAAATTTGGCTTAGCTATTGAGAAGGCTACAATATGTGGAAGTGTTTATCAGATATCTGCCCTGAGAGCATAACTTCCTGTAAGCCCAAATCGTGGCTCCCCCCGCCCCACAGGCCACAGAATAATCAGGGAGGGGATTTGAAGCCGACTTGGTTGATTGGAGTGTTGCTGCACTTTGCAGGACTGGCTGACTGATGCGGATGATTCGGTAGGTGGCATTCTTTCCTTGGAGTCATAGGACTACCTAAACGGCAGATTAGACACCACTCTATGATACTAGGGTGTTGGAGGGGATTTGTTTTTGTGGTAAGAGAAAAAAATCGGCATTCCTGCTGGGTTGGGATGTTAATTAGGGCAGGTTGTAGAAGGATAAGATGTTCTGAGAATGAGATGCTGTCCAAATCACACATACACACGCACACACACACTACCACCGCTACCAAACCCTGGGATTGTTTGTTAAAGAAATAATGGGGAGAAAATATTCCAGCCATTTTAAGCCTTGTGCACACCACATTGTTTAAAGCAGTCTTACATGGCTTTATAAATTATGGTAGATACAGATATATACTTCGATCCATATGCAACAGGATTTTGCATCCACCATAGAGTTTATCATGAATTTTCCACACTGCAAATAGCTTTGCAGTTCCTTTCATTCCTTGTTGAAATCCTCCTGTTATGACTTGTTACCTCTTTTAATTTTTTCCCAATCCCCATTGCTCTGCTTCATGTAAACATTTTTTTTTTTTTACATAACAGTTCCTTCTAACATTTCATGTCATTATTTAATGTTTTATTATCTGTCTCAGAGAAATATGAGCTCCCAGGAAAGCTTTCTCTTTTTGTTCACTGTTGTATCCCTCGTGCCTAGAGCAGTGCCTGGCATGATTAATGGTTGTTACTTAAATGAATGAAGAAACAAAAAAAGGTTATGAGACAGATCTAGAAGAGCCAAGCTAAAGTTGTTTGTTTCAGAGAGCCACCAAGTACTACCAGGTGTTTTCTTTTTGACAGATGCCTCACACCTCACGTCAAAGTCCTATTTTTACTGCATATATGGAAAATTCACTTTTATTTCTTAATTAGTATGTGTTTTTAATTAAAAATCCATTCGTTTTTATTTGCATAGAAAATCCTTCCATCCTTTCCCCATAGGGACTTTTGAAGCAGATCTCACACCCTAAAGAAAATTGAGTTGGCTCTGATTATCACACTCTGGTAAGTGCCTAAGGCACTTGACTGCTAACCAGAAGGCTAGCGGTTCAAACTCACTAGCCACTCCTCAGAAGGAAGGTTGGGCAATCTCCTTCCGTAGTGATACTGCCTCGGAAACCCAAGGAGGGGTCGCTATGAATCGGGTCCGACTTGACGGCACATAACAACAACAACAACAACAACAGTGTTTTAAGAACACAAATCTGATGATGTCACTACTTAAATTTTTCCTTAGCTCCTTGTGTGTATAGGATAAATTTAAAACGCCACAGTATGATATTAAGACTGTCTATAATCTGACACCCCATGCCCACTTCTTTTCTCTTCTCATCTTTTGTCCTTCTTCACCTCTCCTCCTATTCTCAGCTGAATTGAACTGTTTGCACTTCTAAGAGGGAACATTGACACTTTCTTGACTTTGAACCTGTGTTTCCATTGCCTGAATTTTTTCTCTGTATATCTGTCAACACTATTGTGCATGGAGGTTAGTAGATGCCCAATAAACATTTGTTAAGGAAACACATCTTTAAGACTTGAATAAACAATCACCTCAGGAAAATGTTCCTATCTTCATTTCTCCTTATCTAGCTACACCCACACACCAATTACACACATGGGATTAAATGCCCCTTCTGTAGTACTAGGAGCTCTGGTAGAGTAGTGCCTAAGGCACTTGACTGCTAACTAGAAGGCTGGCAGTTCAAACCCACCGAGCCACTCCTCAGAAGTAAGGTTGGGCAATCGACTTCTGTAGTGATATCACCTTGGAAACCCAAGGAATGGTTGCTATGAGTCAGATCTAACTTGAGGGCACATAACAACAACAACAACAATCTGTAGTACTAGGAGCTCTGGTGGCGTAGTGCCTAAGGCCTTTGACTGTTAACCAGAAGATTGACAGTTCAAACCTACCAGCCACTCCTAGGAAGGAAGGTTGAACAAACTACTTCCGTAGTGGTACTGCCTCGGAAAACCAAGGACGGGTTGCTATGAGTCAGATCCAACTTGACGGCAGTGAGTTTTTAGTTTTTTCTATAGTACTAACAGATACGCCAGATACATTCTACACATTTTACACATATTAATTCACTTAAATATTCATTATAATCCTAAGAGGTAGATTCCCTAATGAACCTGTTTCACAGATGGAAAAATCAAGCCAAAAAGATGCAAAGTAACTTCCTCAAACGTCTGATAAATAGTGAAGCCAGGTTTGGAACTTGGGAAGTCTGCTCCAGAACTAGTACTCTTAACCACTTAGGTATACTGCTTCTCCCATAAAGTCTATGCTTCCTTCTCTCTATAGTACATTTTATAGTACGCTATTATCATTTGTTTTATTTGCCTGTAAGCTTCTCAAAAATTGAAGGTTGTATTTTATTTGTCTTTTGGTCTTTGTACTAGACACAACTTTTCTTTGAATGATTTTTTTTAATTACTTATTTTAAAATGAATAAAATATTAGAAACAATCATCTTTACATCCATCATTATGTCATACAGTTTAAAGAAGATTCTCTGGTGGTGAAGAAACAACCCTGGACTAGTCCTACCATTCCTTGATATAATAAAGCCAAGTTCCCTGCACTGGGAATGATATGTTGTAAAAAAGGATGATGCCAGAAGACAAAAGTGATGACAAGGCAGTTGAAAGTATGTGATGACCAATGTCTGACACAAGTAGGATGTATTCAGAATATTTTGAAACAAACCTTAAAACAAAGTGCTAAGAATAGCAAGCTTAACAGCTGGGAAATACCAATAGCAGACCTTTAGCAGAAACTAGGCTAAGAATGAAGCTAAAATATTTTGCCAACCATTAAATTGAATAACAGTGAAGAAATTTAATTATGAGAGAAGATATCCTACAACTAACCCATTCAATATATACTTATTGTGTGCCTGTCATGTGCCAGATACTATGTCAGGCACTTGGGTACAGTCAAGGAGGTATAGTCTTTCTAAACCCCAAGCTGTACACAAGAGCTAGTGACAATGCAATCCATATATGCTTTCTTTTTTTTCCAAATTTGTTGCCAACATTACATCAGAATATTTCACATAAAAATACAAACTCTCTTGAAAAACTAAGAAAACCTAACAACATTGGACTTTCCTTCTCTGTGACAACTATCAGCTAAAGCTGAGTTATAGCTTTGTTACCTCTAATGCACAAAACCACCCTGTGGGATATGTACTCTCATAGTCGTCCTTGTCCCTAGTGCTGGGAAAATGTTAACTGGTAAAGAAGTGGAAGATGAAAAGCTGACAAGAAATATAGAGAAAAGGCCAGAGAAGAAGGAGAAACATCAAGTGGTAGTTGTTTTATTTTTTAGAATAGAAGAGGAAGGAGAAATTGTTGACACCATCTTAAACTGTAAGAGGACAAACAAGTAAAGACTAGTTGAGGCTATTTTTTAAAGACACTTGTCTGAGAATGGGAATGAGAAAGGGCAGTGACCATCAGAGGAAGGTCAAATCTGTTTTCTTAACTAAAACAGGAGACAGATCTATTGAGAGTGAGGTAGGGGGGTTTAGAGAACAAAGCCAGGAGAAAGAGTGTTTCTAGAAGGAGGACGTGGTCAATAATGTCAAGAAAGATAAGAATGAAAAGTATCTATTGAATTTATCAGCCAAAAAGCCATTGGTGGCCTAATGTAGAATGCCTTGAGTGAAATGAGTAGGCTAGAGATTAAGAAGTAAAGAGGAAGTGGATAGAGTGGATGTGGATAACCCTTTTAGGAAGTATGGTTATGACGGGGGAGAGAAGGCAGTAGCTGGAGGGGATATGGGTTTGAAGGGAACACATTTGAATCTAACTATACACATGTT